GCTGGTTCTCCTGTTTTTTATTCTTTTCGTGGGAAGGTAGAAATGGGAGAGGAATTGAGCCCCATCCAACCCACCCCTATTCAGAACTGGAACGAGTGCTCTCGGGAGTGGATGACTGCCTCTGAGTGTTGTCATCACCCAGGAGATGGGGAAGGGCTACACATGTCTGTCTTCTGAAAATTATGGTATTTTTAGCTCCAAAAGAGTTTAAAGCAGATTTAAATGCACAGTGGATAATGATAACTTTCACATCTGAGCGATCTCAGAGGACATCTGCTCGATGCTATTCAAACACGCTCTGACTGGCTCAGTATGGTTGTTTTTCTTTTGACAGTGATAAGTGGTGAAGGGAGAGAATGAGGATTTTGAGATCTGTCATAAGGCGATTAAACTGGGTTGCAGCCCAGGGTCCTCTTAGAAAAGAGGAGTTGACCCTGCAATAGGTCTCCTACCCACCCCCATCCCGGTGGGGAAGTTAAATGTCTAGTAGAAGCTTTGAGGTTGTCTCAACCCATGTGTCCTGCAGTGAAGGGGCCACTGAGGAGCTGCGAGGGAGCCCTCAGTCATCGTCATCTGCTCACCCTGGTTCCTCATACGACTTTTCTGAGTACAGCAACACAGAAGCGCTGCTTCGGAGCTCAGGGCCTGTCCATACAATCTGGCGTGGATGGTTTCGGTGGCAGAAAGCTGCTAAATCTTCCCTGTTGGGTGGGGTCAGCTCTTCCTGTTAGAAAGTTCTCATCTGGGCTCTGCGGTGGCCTCTCTGTGCCTTTCACTCACTGGCCCTAGAGCAGCACAGTGTGGCGTCATCTCCTTGAGCAAGTGCCTTACTCTGTGTGCCTCAGTTTCCTTTCATGTTCCCATGATTATAGGATCTGCCTTGTGGCAATGTTGTGAGTTTAAATGAGGCAATAATATATGAAGCTCTCAGAACAGTTTGTTAAGGTTAGCTATTACAATCTATTTCTTATTACGCTTCATCTCTGAAGCTAGATATTTTTTTTTTTTTTGAGACAGGCCCACTCTCACCCAGGCTGGAGTACAGTGGCATGATCTCAGCTTACTGTAACATCTGCCTCCTGGGGTCAAATCCTTCCACCTAAGCCTCCCAAGTAGCTGGGACGAAAGGTACATGCCACCATGCCTGGCTAATTTTGTGTATTTTTGGTAGAAACAGGGTTTCACTATGTTGCCCAGACTAGTCTCAATTGAACTCCTGAGCTCAAGCAATCCACCCGCCCCAGCCTCCCAAAGTGCTGGGATTATGCCCAGCCTAAGCAACCCTTTTTACCTCCTAAGCCTTGGTGAAGGCCAGGAAGGCACTCTGCTTTAACATCCAATGGCAAAGGGTCAGGCAGGCCTTTTTGACTGAGGGTGGAGGAAGGGCAAATTTCCCACACTGAAGCAGCAAGTCACAGGGGCAGAGTGCGCTGCAGAGCCAGGCACCAGGAGTGCATCCTGACTCCTTCGCTCACCAGTGAGGTGTTTGCACAAGCCACTAAGCCTCCCTGAGCCTCTGTTGTGCCAGCTGAGAGATAGGAGGATAGGTACATGCTTCAGAGTCATGGGGATGACGATGAGGCAGTGTGTGTAACTAGCCTGGGCTGGCTGAAGGCACGTAATAAGTAAATGCCTCCCCTCCTCTATTTATAGGAGCCCCTTGTTGAACAGGAGTCCACGTTCTCTCCCACTCAGCCCATAGACATTTCCTGGGGTTGGTTTCTCACATAACAGTCTCAGAATGGTTCATGTTGTGATGGAGGGGAACATGGGAACACAGTCCGGGGGGCATCAGAGAGCAATTTCAGGAAGCTGCCCAGTTGGCCCACAGTCTAAGCCTCGCCACATTGCATAGCAACTTCAATAAAACCATTTGGCCAGCTCAGCCAAGGGCTGGCCTCTGGGCTTCGGCAGCCAGTCCCCCTGCATGTCCCCAGGTGTCAACCTGTTGCCCATTGCAGGCCCCAGTTGTACCAGCTTCCCTGAAAGAATGTCAGTCCCAGAAGGGCCTTGAAAACTCCTGTGCAGGCCTTGGATTTTATGTCAGAGGTGAAGGTGGCCTGAGAGGTGCAGTGATGGGCCCCAGGCCACACTGTATGATGCAGAGGCTCTCCGATGTCAGTGCCGTGTACCACTTCTGTCTCCCTGTAGCCTCCTTAGTCTGGCTGCTATGCCAGGAAGGGGATCCAGGCCTAGGTGGGCTCAGCCCGGGTGTTCTTATGGTCCCTGCTCTTAGCCTCTGCATAGCACTCATCCTAAAAGGCCTGGGTGTCCCATCCTGACTTGGCAGCTCACCCCTCCTAGGAGCAAAGCTGCAGAACCAGATCTCACCGACCCCCAGCATCTCTCCAGGCTTCTTTCACAAGGCCTCTCCCTTGCCTCTCCCCTGATGCTGCCTGATGCTGAGAGTGTGTAAAGCCAAGAATTGCCCCTTCCACAATCCCTGTGTGTGGAAGTTTGAGGTGATTGCTGTCTGAGAACTGATGAAACCTAAGTTCACATAGCCTGTGTGGTAGGAAGAGGCTGAGAAACTTCTGCAGGTTCAGGCAAGTTGGTACCTTACGAAGACATGCATATGGTCAGCCTGTCAGTTCCTAGGACCCAGTTCCTCATCAGCTCTGCCTGCATCCTTTTTAGAGAAGTTTTTGACTTTTTCCTTTCTGTGTCAGCTGCAATGAGAGGCATAGCAGCAACCCCAATAAGCTCTCCCATTATTGCTAAGGAAGAGAAGACACGGGGGGCCCTTCCCATCCCCATCCTTTATTCTCTAGCCCTCTTCATTCCGTGTTACCTCATGGGAGAGGGCAAGAGGGGGCTCTGTTCTGTGGGTCTGTAGGGAGAAGACGGAAACTTCAGGAGGCCCAGTCGGTTGTTTTTTCATGTGAAATAGCTTTGTGCCTCGGTCCCCTGGTGAGAAGTAGCTGTATCTAGATGACCAAGTCTGTTTGTCCCGGTGAGCCCAGCCATATCAATGCTATGTTTCATGTGTTTTATCAAAAACTGCCTGCATACTAGAGAAGGCGTTTTTATTCCCCAGCTCTTTCTGTTTTTGACCTGATCCCTCACATTTTATAGGCCTTATGTTTTAAGAAAAGTTATTCTTTCACTAGTAAAACTTGGTTTTATTAAAATACACTCAGGTTAACTCATTTTCCAAACTAGCTTTATGTTTTAAAATCTCACAAGGCTCCCCGTGTAGTCACCAGGTATTACTGGAATTGCTAGTGTGGTTAGACAGTTGCATATTTGCTTGTTTTTTTTTTTTGCATTGAGTGTTCTTGGTGAAGAAGGAGCAAAGTACAAGGGGCCAGGAACCCAGGGCTCAACTGAAGTTCCAACTAAGAGTTGCCACCTGTGCAGCTATACAGATGTTACTTGTCATAGATGGTAATCTGACTTTTACTTATTGAGGCCCAGCTCAGATGTCACCTCCTCTATGTGGCCTTCCCTGCTTTTCAGCACACTCTTTCCTCTGCCCTTTGTTGTGCTTTGTTGTGTCTCTTTTCCCAGCCAGATTGTCAGCTCCTTGAGGACAAGCTCTGTGTCTGACTCTCATCTTTACAGCTTTCCCCTGGGAGCATCTTCAGCCCCTGCATCCCCCCCGCTCCCGCCCTAGCCCCTGCAATCCCTGTGTCCCTCTAGAGCTGAGTGGAGTTCTTCCTACACAGTGCATGCTCAGTGCATACCTGTTGAAATGGAATTTCAGATTCTCAATGCCTTTTACAGAAGATCACGTTCTGAGGGTTACAGTTATTTGTACACGTTTTATTTTTCCCGTAAGGTCGGGGGGGCAAACATTTTCCCTCCAGTCAGATAGAAGAGACCTTGTGGACCATCATCCAGTCTCTGTTGCAGCTACTCAAATCTGCACACACAGACGGTACGTAAATGAACGGGTATGGCTGGGTTCGCATAAAACGTTATTTACACAACAGGCAGTTGGCCTCGATTGCCAGCCCCGACACCAGATTATCGGCTTCTGAAAAGGCAGGCTCTGTGTCTCATTTGCCTTGTGTCTAGCAGAGGCCATGCAAAGAGTGAGTGCTCTGTAAATACTCATTTGGGGATTATTAAATGAAACAAAAGGCTGGAATTTGAGCTGAACACATACAGGCCTCGTGACCCAGTGTTTCACCTCCTAGATCATACCCAACAGGAGTGCCTGCACGTAGCCACCAGGGACATGTGCCAGGGTGTCCATGGCAGCACTGTCTGTCTTGGCCCCAAACTGGAAACTACCCCAGTGCCAGTTGACAGAAGACAGTTAAACAAGTTGATTGCAGCGTATTCACAAAATGGAGTACTGTGCAGGAACGAAAATAAATGTGCTAGATGTAAAAACACGGATGGATCTCACAAACACGATGTCGAATTAAGACAAGCTACACATAAAAGAGTACACATTGTATGACTGTATTCACAACAAGTTTAAAGGCAGGTAAAACAAATCCGTGCTGTGAGAAGTGAGGCGAGTGGTTACCTTTGGTGGGGGAGGTGGCTGGAAGGGGGGACTGGGGGCTTCCGGAAGCCCTGGCTGGGTTCTTTTCCTTGATCAGTGTGCTGGCTGCGGGGGGGTGTGCAGTTTGTAAACATTCTTCAATCTGTGCACTTAGGATTTGTGTACTTTTCTGTATGAATGCTGAAGTCGCACAAAGCATTACATTTGAAACAAAAGAAAACAGAAAGTGGTTTGTCCAAATATTGTTTAACCGAAGACTACTATCGCCATTCTAATTTTCTGGCCAATGCTCTTCCGCTGCTGCCCCCTACTGACCCCAGATATGGGCTCTTTGTCCTAGAAAGGGGAATTTGGAAGCCTCGTCTTTCCTTTCATCATCTCTTTCACCCAGGTGTACAAGAGCAGAACCTGGCATTGATCATTTTGAGGATGGAGCCAGTGTTTCTGGTCTGTCCCTGCCTCGGCATCCCCCACCGCCCCTGGCATCCATAGCCACAGTGGGTGCCGTAACAGCATCTGCGCTCTGTGGTCTTCTTTGCAGAACATCGTAGCTGTGGGAGCTGGCTTTTGCGACGGTCTCCGCTGTGGAGACAACACCAAAGCTGCCGTCATCCGCCTGGGACTCATGGAAATGATTGCTTTCGCCAGGATCTTCTGCAAGGGCCAGGTGTCCACAGCCACCTTCCTAGAGAGCTGCGGGGTGGCCGACCTGATCACCACCTGCTACGGAGGGCGGAACCGCAGGGTGGCCGAGGCCTTCGCCAGAACTGGGAAGGTAGTCCCTCCCCTGCCCTCCCGGACCCCTCCTTCCTCACTCTCGGGGTGAGCTGCAGCCCGGCGGAGATTCGCGCCAGCACCTGTTTGCTCGGATTGTTCTGTTTGCCTGGCTGCTTTCACTTGAGTCTTCGGTTCTTTGTGTCTTTATCTTTCCTTGGCTTGCAGCAGGGTATTGAGGCTCTTCTCTCCACTCTGCTCTTGAAATAAGTGATGCCAGGCCAGGCATGGCTGGTGCCTAACTGCCACTGCTTTAGAAGGCCGAGGTGGGAGAATTGCTTTAGGCCAGAAGTTCAAGGCCAGCCTGTACAACATAGCGAGACCCCATCTCTACAAAACAAAGAAAAGAAAGAACTTAAAAATTAAACAAGTCAATGATCCTTTAGTCTTTACCATTGCTTTTTTTTTTTTAATAATCCTTTGTTTTTAAGACCATTGAAGAGTTGGAGAAGGAGATACTGAACGGGCAGAAGCTCCAAGGACCTCAGACTTCTGCCGAAGTGTATCGCATCCTCAAACAGAAGGGACTAGTGGACAAGTAAGTCTCTCGGTCACCCATGAAACCAGATAAACATCCATTGTTCCTGTTCCCAGGACTTCCAGCCCCATGGAGATGAGCTAGACTATGTCACAAGTGCACTTAGAACTTTTCTGGATGAGTTCAGTCCTTTGTGTGATGAGAAGCATCCACCTATCCCAAAAACAAATATTTACACAAAAGCAGGCTCAACGTGAATGAAAGGAGCTCAATTCTGTAAGTCATGTTATAAAATCTGAAGCTTAGGATTCTAGTTTGTCCTGTGGGGTGTTTGGTAAAATCTACATATCATACATTCTAAAATTTATAAAAATGATTTATTGTTTTATTGTTTTTGTTTTATTAAAAAATATGGGCCAGGCGCGATGGCTCACGCCTATAATCCCAGCACTTTGGGAGGCCGAGGCGGGTGGATCACGAGGTCAAGAGATCGAGACCATCCCGGTTAACATGGTGAAACCCCGTCTCTACTAAAAATACAAAAATTAGCTGGGCACGGTGGCGCACGCCTGTAGTCCCAACTACTCGGGAGGCTGAGGCAGGAGAGTTGCCTGAACCCAGGAGGCAGAGGTTGCGGTGAGCCGAGATCACGCCATTGCACTCCAGCCTGGGTAACAAGAGCGAAACTCCATCTCAAAAAAAATAAAAAATATGGTCATGTAATTAAAATGTCAAACAAGTCAGAAAAAAAGGAAGGACAAGGTAGCCCAACATTGTACTGTTAGACAGGAGCTCTGTTAAGGTTCGATGCCCAGCCTTCCAATCTCTTCACTGGGTGGGTAGATGCGGGCATGGGATGGGATGGGATGGAATGGAGTGGGATGGGATGGGATGGGATGGGGTGGGATGGGCTGGGGTGGGGTGGGGTGGGGTGGGATGGGCTGGGGTGGGGTGGGGTGGGGTGGGATGGGATGGGATGGATGGGATGAAGGGATAGATGGATGGATGGATGATGGATGGAGGGATGATAGATGGAGGGATGATGGATGAAGGGATGGAATGGATGGAGGGATGATGGATGGAGGGATGATAGATGGAGGGATGATGGATGAAGGGATGGAATGGATGGAGGGATGATGTATGGAGGGATGGTGGATGGAGGGATGATGGATGGAGGGATGGTGGATGGGTGCTGGGTAGATGAGTGAGTGGATGGGTGGGGTGGGTGAATGGATGGATAGATGGGTGGGTGCATCCATCCTCCATTGCCCTTCCAGGCCAGTTGTGTGCTAAAGGTGGGCTTGAGTCAGTTTATTTGCCACCTGATTTAGAGAGTGAGCCCTGTAGTGCCACACAGCTTCCCAGCCTCTCTTGAGGCCACTCCCCGGCCCTACCTGTTCCACAGCACTTTCTCTTGCCAATTTACTGAGCATGATTGTGGGTGACCATAATCATGATGCCAACTACACCACTGTATAAAATGCTTATGCAGCACGTGTGTGTACTCTGCACTCTCCCGTGATACACTCTGGGGGAGGGGAGGTCTGGTTGCCCAGGACTGAGGGAGCTGAGCAGCTGGACTGACATGCTGATTATGGCTAATTCAGAGCAGGAGCTCTCCAAGCTGGGAGGAGGGTCGTGGATGCCTTGCTATTATCTCTGGTTGCAGCTCCTTTATCCTGGGTCTGTCAGTTCAGGTATCTGCTGGTCTTAGTCATGCATCTTTACCTCCCTCTGCACCCAACACCCCTCCGCCTTTTACCCAGAACAAATTAATCAGCCATGGAGTTTCTTACTGAAAGTTAAAAATGAAGGTGGATGGAGCATTCGCCTTCCCTCTTTAATTTGCATTTTATTTTTCTGAAATGGCTTTTAAAACCAGCCAGGCAGAGATGGAAGCTCACAAACAGGCTGCCAGAGGAGAACTACCTTTAAATAGTGACTGAAAGGAAAACGCCTCTGACGTGTGTGGTTTTCCTCACCTACTTAGCAGCAGACACTGATATGTTTATGGGTGGCTGGACTACTTTAATGACCACTGAGCATTTATCAAGAAATTTTCTTAGTCTAAAAAAAAATACACACACACACGCAGACACACACACACCTTGGCTGCTTGGTGAGACTCTTCCAACCAGAATTTTCAAGTAGCACCTGTGTGCTACCAAGAGGCGCCTTGATAGGATTCTGTGGATGGACAGGTTGGCTGTGCATTGGCCTGTTAGCTCCAGGGGGACATGGATTGGAACAGTGATTCTGGGGTCAATAGCTGCCTGCTTTCAAAAGCAGGTGTAATCAAGCAGGCAAATCTCTGCTCCAGGCAGACATCTCTCCTTGGTCATGTCCCATTTCATTTCTGATTAGAAATTGAACAGGCTGGGCCGGGCACAGTGGCTCATGCCTTTAATCCCAGCACTTTGGGAGGCTGAGGCGGGTGGATCACCCGAGGTTGGGAGTTCAAGACCAGCCTGACCAACATGGTGAAATGCCATCTCTGAAAAAAAAAAAAGAAAAAGAAATTGAACAGGCTGCACCTGTGCTTAATGACATCGCTGCTGGGTTGGAGACAGCAGTGCCCTTCTCCTGGCTGGAGTGTAGAATCCCCTGGGACTTCGCCTGTTCCTTGCACCATCCGCCTCCCGAAGGCAGAAGCCTGCTGTTCTCCTTTTGCACCGCCTCTTTGATTCCTTTTTTCTTTTTCATTCTGGCCACCACTACTCCAGTCTTCCTCTGTTTCCTCCTCCCCTCCCTTCTCTTCTCCACTGCTATAGAGAAAAATAGCAGGAGGGCAGCATTCAAGGCTGCCCTGTAGCTTATGAGCCATGTGGTCTTGGGCAAGTCACGTATTTAGCTGTTCTGTGCCCGTGTTCTTATCCACAAAATTCAGATGGTAGATCGGATGATCGCCGTGATCCCTACTAGCTTGAACATTTACATTCAGAGACCTCCTGCTCTTATGGAGTGAAGCACACGGTCCTTGTGGGGGGCAGCCCCCTCAATCTAGTACCCATGTAACTTCCTGCAGCACATCCGCTTACTCCCGATGGTACCTTCTTTTCTTGAAAGGAACTTTTCTTTGCTTCCTTCTCAGACTCTCATTTTACCTTAATTACCTTTTCAAAGGCCCTGTTACATTCCTAGATACTAGGGGTTAGGACCTAAGCGTATGAATTGGGAAGAGGGCACCATTCAGCCCATACACACTGTTAGAAGCTCCTGGGTCTCCCTCTGTCACCCAGGCTGGAGTGCAATGGTGGAATCTCAGCACTGCAACCTCCGCCTTCCAGGTTCGAGAGATTCTTGTACCTCAGCCTCCCCAGTAGCTGGGATTATAGGCACATGCCCACATGCCCAGCTAATTTTGTATTTTTAGTAGAGGCTGGTTTTTGCCATGTTGCCCAGGCTAGTAGTCTCAAACTCCTGAACTCAAGCAGTCTTCCCACCTTGGCCTCCTGAAGTGCTTCCTTTCATCTCTAACTTTATTTAGAGAGCTTTCCAAACTGGCCTTTTAGCATTTTGTATAATAGAAAATAATATTTAGATGGGCAGTGTAGCCTAATGGTTGAACATTGGCTTCAGAGTCCAAAACTGTGATTCAGTTTGCTCATATATAGAATGGGGACAATATTTTCGACCTCATGGGGTGATTGTGAGGATTAAACAAGTTACTTGTCGGCAGAAATTTTCCCTCCCCATCCTTCATGTCTCCTGTTAACATCCCACCCACGGAATGCACTTTGGAAATGCTAGTTTTAAAAGTTAGGAGTGCTTTCAGCTGCAAGAGCAACACTCGGTTATAACAGGGGGTATGGAGGGGGACGTTATTAAAGTGTTGGCCCACGGCTCTGGCTCTGTATTAGAATCTCAGTGATCCCGTTGGCCTTCCCTTGAACCTCAAGATAGCTGCAGCAGCTGCAGGCATCACGTTCACTTTTACACTCAGCGAGGAAACAAGAGTGGTCTGGGGTAACAGATTTTTCCTCTGGTGCCTCTGAAGGAGAGAAATGTTCAGCAGACACAGTGTGTCTTGCTGGCTCAGACTGTGTTACTTGGCTAATTCTAGATGAAAGAAAGGCTAGAAAGGTGAGTAGGCTCTTCCCAACCTTGGGAAAGGGAGAAGCAGGTTGAAAATGGCTTTAGTTGGCCAGTCATCTGCTACCACACTGCTGTGGGGACATGCACATTGTTCTTGTTTCAGGAACAGGGAAACAGCATGGAGGGACAAAGAAACGGGCTGAATTTTCTAGGCTTTCAATCCCACCCACAGGAATTTCTTCAGCAAATCCTCACTGAGCACCTGCCTCTTGCTCTGCTTGTGCCAGGCATTGAGGATACAGTAGTGAAAAACACAGACTTGGTCCCAGTCCTCATGGAGCTTTCTTGGTCCAGGACACGCTGACCATCTTGTGGCTGCTGTTCTCAGCTGTCGTTACTACACACCCACCATTTGCTAAGTATATACTGTACACTCCACACGTAAGTCATTGAATACTTGCAGAAAGGCCGTGGATCCAGTCCTGTTTTACAGATGAGTAGACAGGGTCAGAAGGATTGTGAAACTTGCCAGAGTTAGTAGGCTGTAGAGTCAGATTTCATTAGGTCTACCTGACGCCAAAAAAGAACAAAATATCCCAAACCTTAAAAAAACCACAGTAAAACAAAACAACCCTACAATGATAGGCTCTCATAAAGACAGTGATCTGTCAGTACTATTTGTTCTTTTTTTTTTTTTGGAGACATAGTCTCACTCTGTCGCCCAGGCTGGAGTACAGCGGCCCGATCTCAGCTTACTGCAGAACTCCGCCTCCCAGGTTCAAGCCATTCTCCGGCCTCAGCCTCCCAAGTAGCTGGGATTACAGGCATGAGCCACCACACCTAGCTAATTTTTGTATTTTTTTAGTAGGGACGGGTTTCACCATGCTTGCCAGGCTGGTGTTAAACTCCTGACCTCAGGTGATCCGACAGCCTCGGCCTCCCAAAGTGCTGGGATTACAGGCATGAGCCACCACACCCAGCCTGTTCTTCTTAAATTAAATTATCATTATAAGATTCTGTCCAGCGAATTTTCAGGATTGCCTTTCAAGACTCTGTTGATTCTGCCAAGCTCGCTTTGAGCTCTGAGTGTGTACTTGAACGCCTGCTGAAATTAGTTATTTATTTAGTGATTTCTGCCACTAAAAGAAAAACAATCACTAAGCAGCTGTGCTGTTTTCTTACAATGGATGATTAGCCCACCCCTTTGTACCCTCCTCCATTCCAGACTTTCACTCATATGTGTGTTCACCTCTTGGAAGAAAAGGTAAGATAGACCAAGCTTCCAGCATGAGTGCTATGCCGATTGTGGGCCCTCACTTGGATTCTAGTGGGAGCGTTCCAGCCTGCATTATTTATGGTGATGTGTGGACTGCCTCATCATCATCGTGAGATGATTCCTTTTGGAGAAGGGAGAGCAATGCCTCCTTGCAATTGAAAATTTATTTTTACAACTTTTATAATAATGACAGAATTTAGACTCATCCAAGATTTGACCTGGAATCGGAGCCACAACTCTTTCTGTAAATGACAGCAGTTTGCCCCGGCAGGATGACCATGTGACTTGTTTGTGGACAATGCACTCCAAATCTAATTAGACAGAGCATGGTCCAGGTTGCACCAGGATCTGACAGCCACAGCACAGAGGCTCTCTGCAGACCAGACAGTAAAGAATGTGGAAAGGGGTCACTGTGTTTCCCAGAGTCGCCTGCTAACCTGCAGTCTGTCAGGACAGAAAACCTAATTTATTCTCTGAGGCAAATCCAGTGCCTAACCTTCTCTTGTCACATTTCTTCCCACCTAGGTTTCCATTGTTCACTGCAGTCTATCAGATCTGCTACGAAGGCAGACCAGTTCAAGAGATGTTGTCTTGTCTTCAGAGCCATCCAGAGCATATATAAAGTGAATCGTGCAACGTGCTGGGGAAAGCTCTGCCTTTCTGATCCATCTTTCGGGTTCACGTGGATACCAGGACTTGGCAGCATGACGTTTGCTTGACTGTAACCTCATCATGGCTATGTATGAATTTTTACAGGTTCGTTTTTGAATTGTGAGAGGCAGTTCATTGGCACAGATGTCCTGGGCAGCAGCTAAACACACACACACAAACGTGTGAATGGCAGTTTCTTCGAGTGTTTCTATGAGCCAAAATTCAATGTCTTTTTTTCAAAATTGTTTATGAAATTTCCACACAATGGTAGCTTATAAACTTGGAATGATCTCAGCTACATTGTTTTAGGTGTAATACATATGGATTTGAGTGGGGGATTTCTTTTTTCTCATTCTTTTAATGTTGAATTTTAACCAGCATTAACATGGTAGACTGGATGAGTGAGTGTGTTCAAAGATCAATATATTTAACTTTTAAACACTATCTCAAAGCCAGCCTAATTAACTACTTTGATTGTGGGCTGACCTTTGTTTTTTAACAATCAGGCTTTTTTTTTTTTGAGACAGTTTCACTTTTGTTACCCAGGCTGGAGTGCAATGGCATGATCTCGGCTCACCGCAACCTCCGCCTCCTGGGTTCAGGCAATTCTTCTGCCTCAGCCTCCCGAGTAGCTGGGATTACAGGCACACGCCACCATGCCCAGCTAATTTTTTTGTATTTTTATTAGAGACGGGGTTTCACCACATTGACCAGGATGGTCTTGATCTCTTGACCTTGTGATCCACCCGCCTCGGCCTCCCAAAGTGCTGGGATTACAGGCATGAGCCACCGCGCCTGGCCCACAATCAGGTATTTTTAATTAGATAGTCCACTTTCATGTTTCCCCCTCACTACAGTTGTCTGCATTTTTAGCCTCTTTTCTCTTCATTAGTTGTCAGAATGTGCCTTCATAAAGGTTCAGCAGTGACAGAAGACAGAGAACTCATCTATGGTTTTCCTGCTGTGCCTGGCACATTCTTCTGATTAGCAGACACTTGTATGAGGCTTTTGGCTGGTTAGTACTCTTTTTGTAAACATTTCTCTTAAGCATCACAGATCCTCTGCGGGGGCTGGAGGCTACTGTTACTCCTCTTGTTAGAGGCCATCACTCTTCCTGGTCACCCAGTGAGCAGGGACAGAACCAGGAGTCAAGTACAACGCCAAGGTACATGACCCTCCAAGAATTCACTGGGCTGATTTGACCCCTGACTAATTGGTTGTGGCAAATGCCATGTGCAGCCTTTCCTGGGGCCGCAGGGGGGCTTCCTGCAGCTGAGATCTGTGCAGGCCATCCTCAACGGACGCCTCTCCAAGCGTGGTTCTCGGTTCAACAGCATCAGCTTCACTTGGTGGGTTGGTGGCAGGCGCTGAGGGGCGGGGGAGGGGGGCGGCAGAAATGCAGATTCCCAGGTCCCACCCTGGACCTCTGAAGGGGTATGACATCTGTGCTTTGGATACGCACTACAGTTGGAGAACCACGAGAGAAAATCTGCTTTAACTTGGCATTCCTCTAACCGCATCCCCTGGGACACGAGCCCCCGGGACAGTCCCGCAAGATCCAGTGGTTATTCCAAGTGCTCCCCGGAAAGGTCCAGTGAGTTTGGGAAGTACCATGTCTGTACACCGCTTGAAGGTGTAGAATGTATGTTCATACGTCAGTGGAACCCATTTTTCTAACCTAGCAAGACCCAAACACATTACACTGAAGAGAGATTTTGGTGAGGAAACTTGCTGGAGTTTTCAGGGAACGCTGTTCTAGGCTTAGGTGACCTTAGGATGACTCAAGTAGACCCTTCACTCCTTGCGAGAAATTAGGATGAATAACTACCTGTGGAATTGTCGGTTCCGGACTTTGACAGTTCAGGCCTGCGTGAATCTGATGGAGCTTTAAGGTGACACTGTTGTACAAGATGCCAACTTTGCTGAAACGCACATTACCTGGAATAAGTGCTTTAATTGTAGAATTAGGATGGGACTGATGTACTGTTTTCAATGAGATTGGCTTCAGAATAGCATTACCGTACTTTATATAGCACTTGACATGTGTTAAAGGAACATATGAATGTAATTTATAAATTCCTGGAATTTCAGTTACTTTGTGAGATTTGGGCCTGTCCCTCAACCCCGGCTTAGGATTTTTTTTTTCTATACCTTGAAATGATTATAAAATAGATTTTCGTGGGCATTTTAACTCTATCCAAACCATTTTTGGAGCATTTTAAAGCCCCATACACAGAAGTACACGAAAGCACACGAAACGCTGCCAGTGTCAGTTTTAGCACCACCGTTAACCCACTTTGCTTGTCTCATGAAAAATCTTTTTTAAAGTTTGTACATAGGTAACAAAAAGTTACTTTTAAAGATACATAAAGGGCTGTAAGCTAACTGTGGTGTCTATTAAGCAGCATAATGAGATGTGAGGAGGTGGGACTTTGCCTGTTGGGCGTATTTTCATCTGCATTCAGCTTCTTACTCTGGGTTTGTATTCATGCTATTTCTTTACAAATTCCCTTGTAATTACCACTCTGAAATCTGCTGACCGTGTCTCCTGAACATGCTTAGCATATTCTGCACCTTATGGAAAGAGGCAAATTGTATAAGTTTCTGCTGTACTAACTGTAGATATTTATTACTCTGTGAGTCATCTATTTTTATAACCACCCGTGGTCCACTGTTCATCTTAAATCAGATTTCTTACGAAGTATGGTAACAGGGAGGGAGACACCTAGATTAGAAGCTCAATTTGTACTACTACAGCCAACCTGTGAATGTAAAAACTACACTGTTGCCTTGCTGTGATCCACCCTTCTACAATGTGGAACAAACATCTGAGTGAAATCCACCCTAGAAGATGGAGTCATACCGAACTTGTGGTTTTTCATTTAACTCAACTATAACATGGCCCCATGGCATCCGCACCGGGAGGGCGTCGTGGTGGGGTGCCGCTGTGCATGGGGGACTTTAGTTTTTCCACTAGTTCTTATCTGCTAGCCTTTTACATATGTGTGTTCTGTATTCATTTACAGACTGGAGGTGGATGTATAATTTTAAAGCTTGGTTTAATAAATATTTAACCCCCTAAACTTGCACCATGGATCCTGTTCTTCTTTTTTATCAGCTTGGGTAAACGTTTTATTTGTCAACTCTTTCTTTTTTCCTGAACTGTGTTTCCTTACCAGTATCAAAGACAGTTTTCAACAGAAGGGCTTCGTTTCTAATCCCAGGCCTTCAGTGCATCTGTTTTTATTGTTTACTGATATTTTTACATAATTGCAGTTTAGGATGGAGACCTTCTAGTGAATTTGAAATCCTCTTCTCCTGACTCCATGTATACCTTTTTTTTTTTTTTTGAGATGGAGTTTCACTCTTGTCACCCAGGCTGGAGTGCAATGGGGCGATCTCGGCTCACCGCAACCTCTGCCTCCTGGGTTCAGGCAATTCTCCTGCCTCAGCTTCCCGAGTAGCTGGGATTACAGGCACGCATCACCATGCCCAGCTAATTTTTTTGTATTTTTTTTTTTTTAGTAGAGACAGGGTTTCACCATGTTGACCAGGATGGTCTCGATCACTTGACCTTGTGATCCACCCTCCTTGGCCTCCCAAAGTGCTGGGATTCTAGGCGTGAGCCACCGCGCCCGGCCCCATGTATGCCTTTAAAAGCTGGGAAAATATAACTAGTGCTGATCTCATAAAAATATGAGGGAAATTCCGAGGATCCTGAAACAAATAGGGGACTGACTGGCAGAGTCGAAGGGATTGAGTTGTGAAGCTTATGCTACACCAGAGCCCACCAAAGTCTGTGTCATCGAGGAAATAAATGAGCTAAGAAAACCCAGGTCTAGGCACAAACAAGGAAGCTGAGGCCCATGTGGAGTAAAACATTTTGTTACGTTTGCCACAGAGCCTAGCTGTGTCACCCAGGCTGGAGTGCCATGGTGGCACATGTCTGTGGTCCCAGCTACTCAGGGGGCTGAGGTGGGAGGATCACCTGAGCCCAGGAAGGTTGAGGCTGCAGTGAGCAGAGATCACGCCACTGCACTCCAGTCTAGGAGACAGAGTGAGACCCTGTCTTGAAAAGGTAAATAAAATAATTGCAAAATAATTCATTAGGAGTGAAAGCCAACATATTTTTAAAAACGGGGTTAGAACCTTAGGATTTTAGATAATTTGAGTAATACAAAATACGATAGATACTTTTTAAAAAATTATTTGAAATCCTTTATAGAGATGGGGTCTTACTATGTTGACCAGGCTGGACTGCAGTGGTATGATCATAGTTCACTACAGCCTCCAACTCCTGGGCCCAGGTGATCCTCCTGCCTCAGCCTCTCAAGTAGCTAGGACTCCAGGGGCATGGAACCACACCCAGATTTTTTTTTTAAGTAGAGATGGAGTCTTGCTATGTTGTCCAGCCTGGTCTCAAACTCCTGCCCTCAAGCAGTCCTCCTGCCTTGGCCTCCCAAAGCCCTGGGACTACAAGCAAGAAGCCTGGCCAGATGCTTTGAAAGACATTTTAAAAAATAAATAAAGACATAAAAGAAAGATTAAAAAATAAATACTATGGGAGAAATTTAAAAAAGAACCCAGGCAGGCACATTTGAAAAGGAACCTATTCGAACATTTAGGAATGAATATAATCATTTGAATTTTAAAAATAGGCAAATAGAAAGATTAAAGAGTAGATTTGACAGTGCTGCAGATGGAATTGGCAAGCTGGAAAATAGATCTGAGGATATTAAAGTAGCAAAGAGCCAGGCGTGGTGGCTCACACTTGTAATCCCAGCACTCTGGGAGGCTAAGGCAGGCAGATCACAAGGTCAGGAGTTCAAGACCAACCTAGGCAGCATGGTGAAACCCCATTTCTACTAAAAATATAAAAAATTAGCCAGGCATGGTGGCACACACCTGTAGTCCCAGCTACTTGGGAGGCTGAGGCAGGAGAATTGCTTGAACCTGGCAGGTGGAGGTTGCAGTGAGCTGAGATCATACCACTGCATTCCAGCCTGGGTGACAGAGCGAGACTCCATCTCAAAAAAATAAAGTAGCAGAGAAAATATTTGCGAATTTAAAGGGTAAGTGAAAGAATAAAACTTGAACATAAATCTGTTAGGAGTTACAGAAGAGAGAAAAGGGAGGCAATTTTTGAAGAAAAGACTGAGATTTGTCCTGAATTAATTATGTGCATTCAATTTTATGTTATTCTCCATAATGTATTTTCATTAAAATTTAATCACGTGGTCTTTATAACTTTTTTATGACTGCATATAACTAAGTTGATGGTGAACTTTTTTTAAGGAAATAAACTTTATGAAGACTCTATGCATAATCTAATTTACTGAAGCTACGATTGATTCACATTACTGAAGCCAGCGATGTTGCCTTTGGTAGGGATGGGAGGCAGCAGGCACAGATCTGTGGGGAGACTTGTAGCTCTGGCTTAAGCATTTAATATCCACGTTGTTCAGTCAAGTCCGCTCACTGCTCTTTGAAGTTCATCTTTCTCATTGGCAAGTGGGAAAAATATCAGTGCAGCCTGCCTCATAGAATTGCCATAAAGGTCCGTAAAGACCAGGAAATCAACATAATAAAGGAGAAAAATGAAATCATCATGGCAGTAGCTGCTTGTGGCAGAAACAATGCCAGGTATTCACTAAATTATTTCTCCCACTCTCTCTCCTTCCTTCCTTCCTTCCTTCCTTCCTTCCTTCCTTCCTTCCTTCCTTCCTTCCTTCCTTCTTATACACAGTTAAATTACATTTCCCAGACTCCCCAACAGTTAGGTGGCATCACATGATTGAGTTCTAGCCAATGACAGAGGGAGAGAAAAATACCACTTTCAGGTGTTATGTTCTGTCTGATTATTATTTCTTCTGTGTGTGCTGGTTGGATGTCAATTTCCAGGATGTTCTGGAAGCCATACATTGAAGATGATGGACCCTTTTTCAGCCAGGATTCTACAAGACAATGTGGAGAAAGTCCCCCTCCCCCAATCTTGGTCCACATTGGTCTGTGATTGATACGTACAAAAATTATTTTATTATGCCACTGAGACACGGGGGTTACTCGTTATGGCAGCCAGCATAACTTCACTTCATACATTGCTAAAAAGATGTTTGAGGAGATCCTTTTGTGATTCATAAGTGTGATGATTGAGTTTTCATGCTCATGTGTGAGATGTGCCCCCCCAAACCTGTCACAGCATCTGCTCATTATCAAATATGAAAAAAGTGTGTTTCAGGAGTTAAAATGGAACTTGCAGAGCCGGGCGCAGTGGCTCATGCCTGTAATCCCAGCACTTTGGGAGGCTGAGGCAGGTGGATCACAAGGTTAAGAGATTGAGACTATACTGAAACCCCCCTCTAAAAAAAAATATATATATATATATATATGTAATAAAAATGGAACTTGCAGAAACATCTAGAGATGAGGGAAATTTCCATCCCTCGGTCACTACAGCATCAAGTGTCTGTTTTGCCATCATTTGTTTGGACACAGGAGGCTAGATAGGAGCGTGGGTGTGCTGTGGGTGTGTCTGACTCTCCCCTCCCCAGGATAACTCTGTCTAAATCCAAATTTGTATATCCAATCATCCTTCTTTCTCCCTTTTTTTTTTTTTGAGATGGAGTCTTGCTCTGTCACCCAGGCTGGAGTGCAGTGGCACAATATTGGCTCACTACAACCTCCGCCTCCCAGGTTCAAGTGATTCTCCTGCCTCAGCCTCCTGAGTAGGTAGGACTACAGGCGTGTGCCACCACACCTGGCTAATTTTTAAATTTTTAGTAGAGACAGGGTTCACCGTGTTGGCCAGGCTGGTCTCAAACCCCTGACCTCAGATCTGCCCGCCCCAGCCTCCCAAAGTGCTGGGATTACAGGCATGAGCCACTGTGCCCAGCCTTGCCGTCCTTTCTCTAGGACTAATGCCATCAAGTTCCAGCACTTATAACACATGCTTCCTTAACATCAGAGAAGGCTTCACCAGGTGATGATGTCCTTAAGATGTCTTCCTCATTTCAAAAGCTTTAAGTTCGAAATGTCACTAAATCTTAGATAAGGCCACGTGCTACTTGTAAAGCCTGGAGGAATGGTTCTTCAGCTCCCCCTCAAAGACTGAGGAATTAAACTTCTCTGAATTGTACACATTGTGAGTGAAATTGAGCCATTGGAAAATATTTTCCTGTTGAACCCAGTGCACTGTCATTTGTCAAATTGGTGTTGACTTGTGACAAATGGAAATGCTTTTATGCTATGATGGAAGTGTTATTTGCATTTTTCATTACTGGTCTTATTTTTAAAATAATTTTTCCATAGATAACACAGTCACTTGGTTCAAAAATAAAGCCCACTTTCCAAGTAGTTATTGGTTTTTAACATAAGAATTTCATTTCATACACATAAGCAAAATATATATACTCTTATTCCCTTCCCCATTTCTCTACACAAAACTGAGCTTACCAGACACATTGTTCCACATCTTGCTTTTTTCACTTAACATGACATCTTGACGGTCTTTTATATCAGTTATTTTTAACAACTGCATGTTTAACTTTTTATTTTGAAACAATTACGGATTCATAGTAAATTTCAAAGGTACCCTCTACCCAATTTTTCCCTAATATATTAACACCTAGTTAAAATAACAGTAGCAAACACCTTCAGCACCATTTCTTCCTTCCTTTCTTTCTTTCTTTTTTTGTAATATGAAAGAAAGAAAGAGAAAGAGAAAGGGGAGAGAGAGAACAGGAGTCTTGCTCCATTGCCCAGGCTGGAATGCAATCTAAGAATAAGTATTAAAAACCTTTTTTTTTTTTGAGACGGAGTTTCGCTCTTGTTACCCAGGCTGGAGTGCAATGGCGCGATCTCAGCTCACCACAAGCTCCGCCTCCTGGGTTCAGGCAATTTTCCTGCCTCAGTTTCCTGAGTAGCTGGGATTACAGGCACGCGCCACCGTGCCCAGCTAATTTTTTGTATTTTTAATAGAGACGGGGTTTCACCATGTTGACCAGGATGGTCTCATCTCTTGACCTCGTGATCCACCCGCCTCGGCCTCCCAAAGTGCTGGGATTACAGGCTTGAGCCACCGCGCCCGGCCTAAAAACCTCTTTTATGCCGATAATTGTGCTTAACAGCGGAGATAGGAAGGAATAAAGATGGAAAATAAACAGCCAACCAATATTTCATTTAAGTCTGTGAAATGTGCAAATGCTGAAGAGTGATTCGCTTCCATTTATGTGGTCACTTTCAAAATACGCGTAATGTGATATTGAAAAAAATGTATGTTCTGTGGACCTGGGGTGAAGATTCTATAAATATTCACTGAGTTTACTTGTTCCAGGTCTGAGTTCAAATCATAAATGTTTCTTCAAGAAAGAAACCTTTCTTTCTTTTTAGTCAGGTTTCCCTCTGTTGCCAGGCTGGAGTACAGTGGCTTTATCCTGGCACACGGCAGCCTCCAGCTCCTGGGCTGAAGCATTCCTCCTGCCTCAGCCTCTTCCAGTAGATGGGACTTCAGGCATGAGCCACCACACCCAGCTAATTTTTTAATATTTAGTAAAACCAGGGTCTTACCATGTTACCAAGGCTGATCTTGAACTCCTGGCCTCAAGTGATTCTCCTGTCTTGGCCTCCCAAAGTGCTGGGATTGTAGGCATGAGCCACCATGCCTGGCCCACTTTTAGCACTGTTCTAAGTGCTTTGCATATATGAACTTATTATTAAAAATGTACCGCCCCCATATACAGTTGGGGAAAGGAAAGCACAAAGAGGCTAAAGAATGTGTCCAAATAACAGAGATAGTAATTAATGAGGCCGGGTTTTGGACTTGGGCAATTTGGCTTAAAAGTCTGAGTTCTTAACTCTTAGATAAGACTGCGTTAACTCCTTTGAGTAATGGGTGCTCATAGCTAAGCAGAAGCAAACAATGATTTGAAGGGTGAAAGTGTCATCACTCTTCATTCTTTTGCAAACTTTCCTAAATGTACTGTGTTCATGCGTGCGATGTATTTTAAGACAATATTGGTTTTTTTTGTTTGTTTGTTTTTGTTTTGTTTTTAAATAAAGATGGGGTTTCACCATGCTGATCAGGCTGGTCTTGAACTCCCGACCTCAGGTGATCCACCCACCTTGGCCTCCAAAGTGCTTGGATTACAGGCGTGAGCCACTGGACCCAGCCAAGACAATACTGTTTTAAAACTTTTTTGATAGTTTTAATATTGAACTTTCCATATCAGTATAATCTCCTACATGGTTCCATACTGCATCATTTTCTGTGACTTCCCCTTAGTTTATTACAGATGAATACTTGTTATAATAATTGGTGCAGGAAACATTCTTGCACTTGGATTCCTGCTGATTTATATGACTGAATCAGCATAGATGCTGGAAGTGGAATGCTGGCTCAAAGGTATGTGTGCTCTGTGTTTTAAGAGACACTGCCAAATCCCTCTTCAAAAGAATGGCTGCAATGTATGCTTCTGACCTCACCTTCTGTTCCTGATTACCTCTAGAACCTCTATTAGGGAATTCTTCATAACAACCAGAGACCTACATTGAACTGTCAAGTCTCAGAATGTGAGATTTTGTACTTATCAATAATGTGTCTCTCCTACCAGTTTCACTGTAAAAAATAAAAAATTGTGTTATTCAGTACTACAGTTGTGTTACAGCAGCCATCTTACCATAATTGTAATCGTTGGTACTGAAAGTTTTTTTTTTTTTTTTTTTGAGACGGAGTCTTGTTCTGTCACCCAGGCTGGAATGCAGTGGTGCAATTTCAGCTCACTGCAACCTCCACCTCCTGGGTTTTAGAAATTCTCCTGCCTCAGCCTCCCAAGCAGCTGAGATTACAAGCACCCGCCACCACGCCTGGCTAGTTTTTTGTATTTTTAGTAGAGACTGGGTTTCACCATGTTGTCCAGGCTAGTTTTGAACTCCTGACCTCAGGTGATCCAGCCGCCTCAGCCTCGCAAAGTGTTGGGATTATGGGCATGAGCTACAGCACCCAGCCTTGAAAGGCTTTTTTTGAGTCACAGAAAGGTTCATGTAAATGAGATGTTTTTAGGGAATGTTAAAACAAGAAATATTATTATTAGTAGTATTTTAATCACAAATTTACTATTTAGGCAAAACCTCCTCAGGCCTTTGTCAAAACAAGATGAAATGAGGGTAAGATGCTTTTCTGGGACAGTTCCAGATTCCAATTAACTATGACCCTTGCCCACTAGAGGTCACTCTTGCGACTAACTTTTCCCTAGGCATTTGGTGTCCTGTGAAAGACATTATGCTTACGGCATTTTAGTCAAGTTTTTAGAAAGACACATATTTCTTACCAACTAAGCTGAGTTTGCACTAGGAAGTTACCCAGTGTCAAGGTTTCATTTTGACTCTTTAACGCAAAACAGATCACATTGTTTTTGTTCTAATAAAACTTTATTTACAAATATAGACAGTGGGCCAGATTTGGCTTGAAGTCTATCAATCCCTAGGTTAGCAGACAAATTTTTTAAACAAAAATAATAGAGTCAATGCAGTCTTTCTCTGCAAGGGAAACAGCCTGGGAAATAGAGGTTTGGAGCAAAACGTGAGTCCCCAGAATACAAAGGATATCAATGAAGAGATGCATAGGGCCAGGAATGGAGCCAGGGGCATGGAGCTTCCACACCAGCGTCCAGGGACCTCCATGTGTTCAGCTATCCGGAAACTCCCAGACCACAAATTTTTACATATAGCAGCTTTACTTGCACTGCTGGCCTGTGTCCACTTAGATGTCTGGGGGGATTTTGGTCTCTTTCCCTTCCTTAACGTGGGAGATCCACTTACAAACATCTTTATTAAATGTCTCTTTTCTTCTCTCTCTCATTCTGACACTGACATTCTGACACAAGCAAAAACACTTGCTTCCTGCTTTTTGCTTTTATTCCAGGGACACATCTGGGAAAGACCTTTAAAGGCAGCAGTTTCAGCAAGGAGAGTGGTAGGAAAGAAAAAACCTCTTTGCATCTTAATCTTCCTTCTGGTTTTCATGTCTGTTATCTTTGGCGATAGCATAATTTTCACTAGGATGCTGTGTAATCATGAAGCTAATGAAATTTAAGCTTCAAGACCCCTACTTTTGTAAATCTTTTTTTTTTTTTTAATGGAGACAGTTTGGCTCTGTCACCAGGCTGGAGTGCAGTGGTGCGATCTTGGCTCACTGCAACCTCCACCCCCCTAGTTCAAGCAATTCTTC